TATTAGGGAGGAAGTGGGGGGGGGGGAGGGTAGGGGTAAGGGGTAAGGAGGAACACACCTCAATGACGTCGACACGACCGCCACTAACTTGTTCATCGATATCCTTCTTTTTGCGACGCTCTCTTCCCATCTCTTTCTCTCATTGTATCTTCTTTTCCTCATCCTTTCTTATCACTTTTCCCCTTCCGTTATCATCACCATCATCGGCACCTCCTTCACACCCCTCTCTTCCTCTCCCCCGGCGCGTGTCCGAGAGTCCGAGAGAGCCAACTAGACCCCCACCCCCTCCCCTCTTCGCCTCCTACGCCCAAACACTTCCTAGGATACTTCCCTCCTGTAGGCTGTCCTTGTCCTATGTGACCGGGTCGCAGAAGGAGGCGAGGTACCGTAGCAGGACCGCCGCGGGGAGCAGCAGACAGGGCGAGGGGCGGTGCTGCAGGAGGGTGCTGCTGCTCGTCTGCATCGCTGCCGGTTCCTTGGCTGCGGGAGGAAGGGAAGGTGTTAGGGATCAGGGATTTGGGATGCTTGGCTCTGTCTCTGTCTCTCCCTCCCTCTCCCTCTCCCTCTCCCTCTCCCTCTCCCCTCCCTCTCCCATTCCCACACCCACCTGTAACAAGAAGAATTAATAATCGAGTCAAAAATACATGGTATGCATTTTACCGTTCGTGCAATTAAGTGCTGAAAAAAAAAAAAACTGGTGCTCATGGTAATCAAACACGGGAATAATAAATAATTAACAAACCAATAAATAAAATAATAATTCCAATCAACTAAAGAAGGGAAAACAAGACACAATCCAACAACAGGACAACAGAGAGACAATAAATCACCCATGAACCTCTCCACGCGATCCATCCACGGGGCGTCTCGTCGACTCCATGCAATGCGCAAGCCAACACCTCCACCTTCAGCCCCCCCCCGAGGCCACGGATCCCTCGCTTAATCACAGCCTTGTTTCCTAATGGACGGGCGGATGACGTCACGAGACAGCCCCGCTCACGACGGAGGCCAAGCCAGCGCTTTCGGACGTCGAGTTGGCGGCACGGCGGCGGAGGAGGCGGAGGCGGCGACGGCGGCCGGGGTGTGTTGTCTGGGGGGGGGGGGGGGCGTCGCTGCCTGTCTCTCTGCGCTCGGGCCTTCGGCTCTCTCGTCTCTGGCTGTTTTTTTCTGTTTGTCTGTCTGTCTGACCCTCTCTGTCTGTCTCTCTGTCTCTGTCTGTCTGTCTGTCTCTGTCTGTCTGTCTGTCTCTGTCTCTGTGTCTGTCTCTGTCTCTGTCTCTCTTCTCTCTTATTTGTGTGTGTGTGTGTGTGTGTGGTGTGTGTGTGTGTGTTGTGTGTGTGTGTGTGCATGAACTAAATTCTCAAAAGAAATAAAGAATTTCTAAAAGAAATTCCCTGAATGGACTATAACTTGGCGACAGCGTCGTCGCGCAAGGTGTGTGTGCGAGTGTAAATCAATCGCATTATCATGAAAATTATACAGTAATATTGAATGGCGGAGCAAGAATGACAACAAAACATGAATCCTGCCTCTTAAACGAACTGGATGAGGGACGAGGGAGATTCTTTGCTGAAAAATCGGGAAAATCGGCATCGTGTTTTGTATTATTTCGTTGTTCATTTAGTATTCATTTTATCGTGATATGTTGTACAGGACTTTCTTTTTTTTTTTTTTTTTTTTTTTTTTTTGCTTTTTTTCTTCTTTTTGTTGTGTGTGGTTAGAGATTTTGTTTTTTTAATTCATTATCATTATCAGTTTTGTTTTGTTTTTTCTTCTTTTTTGTGTGTGCGGGTTATAGATTTTGCTTATTTATTTCATCTTTATTATTATTACATCATCATTGTTTTTTTTTCTTTTCTTTTCTTTTCTTGTGTGTGTGTTTACGTATCTATTTCAAGCGCGTGTGTGGGTTCGTACCAGTGTATGTATGTAATGTCTGTGTGTGCTTCGTTACGAATCATGCATGTCTGTCTTTGTATTTGTATAGTTGCAGCAGCTGGTATGTTCGGTATGATTTGTACGAGGTTGTGTCTGTGTGTGTCTGTCTGTCTGTCAAGTGTTTATGTGCTGTTAAGGTTTTACGGTTCAATGTATGTTAAAATGCATGTGTGTTAGGGTTTATTTGTGTTCCAGGTTTTTAATATGTGTATTTAGTTTAAATGTGTGTTAGAGTTTATGTGGCACTAAAGGTTTATGTGTGTTTCAGGTTTTATGTGCATCTAAGTTATGTGTATTTGGGTTTATGCGTATATGAGGTTTATGTGTCGCTACGAGTTTTATGTGTATTCAGGTGTTTCCATGGTGCATTAGATTCATGTGTGTTTCAGGTTTTATGTGCATTAAGGTTTATTTGTGTTTGGGTTATGTTTTGTTCAGGTTTTATGTGCACAAAGGGTTATGTGTGTTAGGATTTATTGTGTTTTTAAGGATTTAATGTTTATGCTAGAGTTTAATGTGTATTTTTTCAGGGTTTTTTTATGTGCAGTTAGGGTTTATGTGT